TGACGGCATGAGTACAGTTCTTGCAGTGATGGAAGAAAGGTGATGCTGTTTAAAGTCACTCGAGGCACCCATGGCTTCTCGTGTAGATGAGATAGACTTTTAAGTACGACAGATTACTTTCTTTGTTGAATTACGCCCTTTTCCTCAGCCGATCAAACAGGCATTATACATAAGCGATTGTAGGTATAAGTTTCTTCTTCTGTTGGGTTCCGACTTCGATCAAATCCGTTTTAAGTTGATAGTGTTTCTTTGCGCCACTTCTTACGACGAAGTCCTTCTTATTATTGTAATGTAATAAGAGTATGTTGTAGTGGACGTCAGTAGTGATCTGAGCAAAGACTCATCGAGTTCATTTGCGATAAGTTCACAAAGTCATGTTTTGGACTGACTTAACAAATATTTCTTGTCATCTGAGTTACGTTTTCCAAAATCACGGATTTTACCGGAGTTCCAAAAAAATTCAGGTCGCCCAGTCAGGTCGGGACGTTCTTTATCTTTGCATTTACTCGGGATTATCATTTTACAAGCACACTTGATTTTATACGGTTCTAGGTTCGGAAGTATTTGTGAGGAGAAAATTAACTTGGAAAAGTCAATTCTCGATACGAATACGAAACTGACGGCTTCCGAAAACCAGTGTATCCACTTGGAGGCCGAGTTACGCTTAAGCCAAGGGCTTGTGCAAGATCTGCAGACAAAAGTCAGCCAAAACAGTCAAATTAGTTCTCAGTTGGAATCAGTCAAGATGCAATTGGAAGACAGCATTGGGGTAAGAACCGCTATCTGAACCTCGTCTTACGTGTGAAAAGAAAACCTCTGGGTTTTGCAGTGATCCGGAGTACCTCATACCGATTTTATGGAGTATAAATGAACTCTTACACTAAATGTCAAGATGTGTCTAAAATGCATTAATTAGGTCATTCCAAAACCACTAGATTTATTTCGACCGTGGGGTCGGCAGTCACTGGCATGTCCATGTCGTGACCCGTGTTATTGTGGGGGTCACTGGGACACTGGATCAACCCCTGCCTTATTAACCCCCCCGAACCACATGAACTGCTGTGTCCGTCCCGTTGCCCATCGGCATTTATGCTGTTGTACTAGGTCAGCACAAGTCCCAGGAAAACGAGACCTGTCTATCAGCCTAGACGCGTTCACAGGCGGTGAATAATTGAACGGCCGTTAACCATATATGCCTGTCATATAAGCGGATGAGGATACTCATCTTCGAATTCAGCAGCCACGGTAAATGATCCATAAACCAAACGACTTCACTCGCCCCTCCCCCCCGTATGGAGGGCCACACCCGAACTTAATTTCGAGCTACAAGAGGGCCACATCCCGCACAGTCTTTCTGGACTTAACGAGGGCCAAAATGATCAGTTTCCCCTTCCCATCCCACAACTACGACAACCGCGATCTGAGTTACTCCTACTTATAGAAGGTCTTTCACCAGACAGTGTCCACTGCTACTGGACGAATCGTCAGGCTTGATTTGACTGTCGGTGGCGCCCCATGATTTTCGTCTACGGAGGAAACCATTGGCTGGCTGGAGAGTCCAATATAGTGGGACTTCCCAATGCGTCACTAAATTTTTCATCTGTTGAAGGAGTTTTTAGAGCCGGAAAAAGCACGCTTAGCAGCCAACGGTCGCATGGTGCGGGAGGACGACAGTTGGATGCTGTTTGCTCTTTAGAAAATACATAACCGCTGTCTGCGTAGGGAGGTAAGTGTGAAGTTTTTCTGAAGGTCCTTCCTAGGCACATTAGGGGTCTCCAAATGCAGTAGCTTTCGATTCCACCATCGCCTGAGGGTACAGGCACAGCAACTTGGTTTTTCCGCTTGGGTAGAAAACCCTTTGGGCTGGCGGGGTAACAATTCTCTACCTGCGAATCAGCCCTTTGAAACTGGATTGAAAACGTTACGCTGTGGTAGAGTTTGCGTATGCGCTGGAAACGTTTTTTATATGAGGGAATTATTTTATTCTTGGTACATCTTAGAGACTTTCCCAAAACACAAAGTCTGTGGAACCAGGATAGTTTGTTTTTTTACACGACTGAACCTTAGGTGGTTTAAAGATCGGTCGTTAGTGAACCTTGGTGTAACTTTGCCAACAGGGCGTGCTTAATTAGCAAACTGTTGTTTTGAATTATGATAGTCTGCCAAATTAACGGTCAGGCTTATTCGCGAGTGGCAGTGACGGTGTTACTGACTTCTTCAATGATCCTGAACTGACGCTGTTTGAAAGTTAACAGCCCTATATATTGTCTGTAGAGTTGTTCAACCGCCGGTGGAAATCACTAAAATTTGGTTTATTTTTTCAGACTGTGGGTTCTCAGCAGAAACAGATCGTGGAGTTATCCTCGCGTTGCTCGAGCCAGGAGACTAGTCTCACAGAGATGGCACACAAGGTAGAGTCTGCAAAGTTGGAGGCCGAGCGCCTTCGTGAGAGGCTTCAGGCTCTCAGCATGGCTGAGTGGAAAAGTGACGCGGACACTGGGGTCTGCACACAGTGCAGTGCGCCGTTCGGTCTCAGTCGAAGGAAGGTAACTACCTATAAGTATGTAGTTATTTGGACGTTGTTTTCTCCTATCCAACCTGATTGTAACATTTCACTTGATCATTCCTTTGTCTTCCTGATCTTTCGAACTCGTGCAGAAGTCCGCAGTCCGCAACGACAGTTATAGGGGCATTAGCCAATCAGAATTATGACGTAGATGACGGCGCAGGGCGCCCGATCGACTAAGGCCTCATCCGAGGATCAAGCTTCAATAAATTTTCGAAAGCTCTGGAAAATGTGCAGATAGTTCGGGTGCTCGATTAATTTTCTACCTCTCTCATACATGTATCCGGAATTCTCGAGCATTCGTGAACAATTTTTTCCATAATTTAGGTAACTTTCTTTCCATCCTTTTAATGCCCAAGCCTTTACCGCATTGCCTTTTCAGCACCATTGTCGAAACTGCGGCCTTATTTTCTGCTACGAGTGTTCCGCGTACCGTATGACCCTCCCCAGTTCCTCAAAACCCCTGCGTGTCTGTGAACCCTGCCACAATCAACTCCTTGAACGTTATTCTACTACCACCAAGTGACAGTCATCAAATCTTTGCATAATTTTCCTTGGATCGTTTCTTCCTATACATCATCACCGTATTTATTTTGTGATAATTTTTCTTTTCACCAGCGCATACATCCTGATGACCTCTTCTTAGCTTTTTGTCCAATGGTACCTATTGCTTAGTTGCTCATTTTCTCAGGAATTCGACTCGGTTGCCTTGATTGTACAGTGCTGCTGATTGGTCTTGATTTCACCCGACTTTTTTTCATGCATTCTAATCGTCATATTATGTCTAGTCGTTAAGCGGTTGCTAATAGGTGGTTGTGTAAATGTAGCTATCCTCAAGAGCAAACAAATATGGATGGCTTGAGTTTACAGTTCATATAGAAGCCAGGCATTTCGTGAACAGGGTTTGACTCCAAGGTTAAGTCGCAATATTTTCAACAGGGATCAAGTATATTTATCGTCAATGAACATAAAAAGCTCCAAATTCATACTGGTATTTGGCAACTTGTTGAGTTAACTTACGATGCTGTTCATCTTTGTAGACCCCTCGACAACCGTTCTAACAAGGCGTTCACCTTGACCCCCTAAGTCAAGGCCAATCTGTCTTCGGTGTCAAAAAGTGGTTAAGCCATGCGTGTTTATTCTCGTAGCTAGCAAAAACCTATTCGCTGTGGATAATTTGAACACCGTCCCGAGTTTATGGGCCCGAGGGGTTAATTTTCCGGTTTCTTGATTGCCTTGTGTTCCCCTTCATACGCTTCACCCTGTGCCGCAAAATCAGTACAGACCTGAGGTCAGTTATTAAAAGGGAAGAAATATTTGCTACTTTTCAAAGTTCCTGACCGTACTGCGGCTCAGCTGTTTCATTGTTCATCTCTTGCGCCTAAAATATTTTACCTCGGCGGAAAGTTAGGTCAAACTACGTTGACATATCACCCAGAAGCACCCGATAGTATTATTCAGTGTCTTGCTTTGCGACTTACCATACCGTATTTTTTTCGTCCTAGTAACCTGGTTTCAAACCTATTTGCCCTGCAGCTTCATGCTTGCCAAAGTGCACCCTGCCTTGTAAAGGCCCTTCATCTTGTTGGCACTCTTCGATATGTAGCATGTGCAGTGGCTCTTTCAGGATCTTGCCTTCGGTTAAATGAGAATATTTTTCGAAATTCAAAGCAAATGTTTAAGAATTGTGATTTTTTTATATTTTAAAGAGTATTCACGACATTAGAGACTTAAACAACTCAAGCGGCAAGTTTTGTGCGAAGTTCGTGAATTTGGTCTTCACTCAAGCACAAATTCCAAACTCCTCAGTATTCAGTCAATGATCATCCTCTGCTTGCCCATGTTCATGCCTGCCTGACTGGCGCCCTTGTTGGTACCGTACTGCAGGCTGACAACGTTGGCGCCCTCGCGTAGCTGTTCTTCCGTGAATTCGCGTTTGTTTTCTTGCGCAAGTTTCGGTCCAAGAGTGGGTCCTGTGTATTCCGAATGTGTTTGGCACTGAAAAAGACCAAGCAATTGTCGTAAGAATGGTCCTTGTTCAGAGTTTTAACACCCTCCTCTGTTTGGTAAGCAACGTCTGGAGGTAGGTTGGTCTGAATACTGCTGCCTAGATAGTATCGTTGTAGGGGCTTGCAGAGTACCTCACTGTCAGTCACAGGGCCTATTTGCCCACCGGTACTGTACTTGCATTCCTGTGTCTAGCTCATTCATTAACTTTCCTGCCGCTACTTAACCACCGAAAAATTTGGTTCACATCTGTCTATGATTGCCCAAAGCAACCCGCAGACAATGCGCACTCAAACACTTCGGGTCCTCTGAAACCAGTCGTACGTGGTCGTTGGCTTTCTGGGAAAGTTGGATAGCTGCCTAATCATGCCTCTCTCATCTTTCCTTCCATAATTTTGCGGCATCGAGGACGTACTTCTATTGTAGAACGCAAAATTCCCCCACGTCTTGCTGAAATACTCGTTGCGATTTAATTACTATTCGTTTATGATAAAGAACTCGAACATACTTCGATGCTGGTGCACCTTCTTACACTCATCGCCTCTGCTAGATCCCACCGCCTTGAAGGCTTCGTGTGTTGGCAGCTGTGCGTGTTCGTCTTTCAGCAGATTGAAAGTGGTAATTTGCGTACCCGAATCCCGCCACTGCTCGTTGATTGGCTGAATTAAATCGCTGGCCCCTGCACGTGTCCGGCCTACACCATAGCGTACCGAGACTAATGCTCACTAGGAACCGCTCCCGCTTTGATTTTATTCGCTGTCCAATCCCCCATGAATTCCAATTTTGAAGGTGAAACTGAGCTTTACTACATTAAATCCCGCTCGACATAGATGCCCTTTCTATAGACTTGCATGGACATGGTGAACATGCAACGGTCACCAGTTGCAAAGCACAATATGTGGTTTAAATTATCTTCCTGATCTCTCACTGGCTGTATTTCCGACAACTAATCCAATTCTGAAACTACAAAGTCAACCATTAATTCAACCCTCCTCCGATTTGTATTCTGTGAACGGCGTCTGCTAACGGACAGAAGTCTAATGTAAACGCATGTTATCCGTAAACTAAGACGGGATAGTTGGGGATCGCACATAAAATATTCCACTTGTAACTACAGTTGTGGGAAGAGGGAGTCTTTTGTTCTGAGTGGCATCTGATGATCTGGTAATTCTAAAGTTCTGTAAACCCCGCCTACTTCGTCCCCGTGAGCGATCCCGCGTTTGCATTTTGTGCAATGCATGTTTCTATCTACTTTGGAGTTAACAGTCTACAACGAACGTATAAATGATTACGGACAGTAGATATTGGGTCGCTATTTCCATAGGATGGCAAACATGGATACTACCTTCAGTTGAGGTTTTTGAACAAAACATTGCAAATCCTTGTGACTTAATCACAACTTACCGTCCGGCCAAGAGCGAAAATGGTTTGCGTAACCTGACCAATATCTTTCTTTTCAAAGAGATCCACCGTCTGGAAGAGGTCGGCTGTAGGAACCCCGTAGCTCTTGATTGCATCCAAGAAGGCGTTAATATTTTCCATGATCTTGAATGGCATGGTTGCGCCCTCGTTTACCTTCTTGACGCTTCCTGGCTTAATCTTGTTGATCAACCTAAGGAAAAAAGTGGATATGTTGGAGAATTCGGCAAACAATAACAAACGCATCGAAAGCTTATCACGTGCTTGTGATTCCCTGTGTCGAACTGCGCATTTGCTGCCGAAGATTATTCAGTTCGTCTCTCAGAACTCAGCGAATTCCTTAGCACAGGTTATAAACAGAGGTTAACCTGGACGGGTGGGGAGTCATTATCTCGATCTTCTGTTATGCAACAGCTTAGCAGATAGCCATGACGTCGCGGAGACGAGTGGTGTCAAAACGAATTTTTGAAAGTCACAGAAGAATCACATAATGCAAAATTGCGTCATATGATGAGAGACCGCGGGATACCTTACGAGTGGGTACCTAGGATCTTTAGTTTTCAGATTTTGCACTCGCGACGCCCTCGAGGCCGTTAAACCAGGTATTAAAACAACCCTACCATGTGCAGGCATACAATTTACAAGCTAGGCATTCTAGCATGTTTGTATGGGAGCACACCGATTTTCCGACGGTTTTTAATGGTGCTGGGGAAAATATCTGACTAGGGTGCACGTCATTGTGATCTATTACATATGAATGACCAGAACTAATGTAGTTTCAGACGTAAGGTCGAAAGAAGCAGATTGAGGGGTTAAATGAAGGGCCAAGACTCGGGGTTACGCGCTCAGTTTAACAAATTCTGAGCGTAAGCAGGCAGAAGGCGTGCTTTGCTGGTAATCGTAGGACTTACTTGCACAACAAAACACCATCTTTGAGGATGTCCTCATACGGTTTGGAGCGGTCCAATTTTGTCTCGAGGAGCTGTTCGATCCAGTTCAGAACATCCTCCTCCTGTTGTTTGTCACGTTTCCCCTCAAGCTACCCGCAACCGCATAAAAAACATTGAAGTCAAAGTTAAAGCTGAAATAATGCCTTTCATTTCAACAAACGGATTCTTATTCTATAGAATAGAAAGAAACCACTGTTATGCTTTGTATGCGACAGGGTATAGTTGTCTGTCAAATCGCCAACGTTTCCTCATTTAAAAAAACCTTTCCAATTTAAATATGCGTTGGTGGGAGGTCGCTCTTGAAAAATTTCCAACAGGCAATGTAGCCTTTAAGTTACGTTGAATGGGAAAGATTATTTGCCCATATTTGTCACCCGTCGTGCCAATCTACTTCGGCGACTATAAATGCCGTCTCAGTTCCTGATTTCATCTGAGCGTGTAAATGATCTAAAATTGAAGTAGGACGCGAGGATATGAACTTACCCTTAATACTGGTGACGGCGTTGAATCCCAGGAATAAGAGTCAAGGTTAAGGGTAGGGTAAGACTACCTCTATAACTGGGGGTCAATATTACCGTGTCTTTCCGAGGACTCAATATCTTCCGGTCTTTTGCAGAATTAACGGACGCTCGTTTTACGACCCACCAATAATTTGCTAGGATAAACATCTGAACATCCAATCTCTTAAAAATGGGGCTCCTACGACAGTCAAGAATTGGTGAATAGCTCATTGCAACACATGACGTATCCATAACTCGGTAATATCCATTGCTAGGCTATGTGAATATATAAAACGAGCAAAAAAGAAACTTCCTGTTTTAGTTTAAAGAGTATCGACTCCCCAACAACGTTCCTGTTTTCTCGTGCAGTGATTTACCGCAGGCGCTGGATACTATGATATACTTTGCTATAAGCCATCATTTTCATTATTTGTTTTCTAATATAAGTACTTAAATGCCGCAACGCTAAGTTCTGACAAAAAGATTTGGAAAGTCGGTGTAGTAGTCAGGCAATGACAGCGTTAAAAAACCCACACTGAACCCGTGAATCAAACTTTGAATTGTCATTTATCGTTTGACAACCTGACACAGATTTATGATTCTGAAGTTGACAGTGTGATAATGCCCTTCAGGAAATGAGGCTTAAAGGCAAAGCAGGATGTCGCGAATTATTTTGCATTTTTGAAAGATGACAATTACAAATGCCACGTTTCGCTAAAATTGTCCTAATTTGGAAAAGCACCGTTAGTCAAGTTAAAGTTTTACCCTTTTTTCTAAGGATTGCATTTACTATTGCAGCAAAATATCACTTCAGATGAAAATAGTTCTGTTCCGACTGTGCCTTTGCAGTTTGCGATTTTTCTTTGGATTTGCTGATCATAACATTGCCCCATTTTGAACAGTCCTGTCATATACATCTGAAGATGTTCAAAAATCAGTAATGTTGCTTAGGTGTTAGTACGACTATGGCGCCTAATTAGCCTCTTACATGCGTGTGGATATGTGAATGCGAAATGCACACTTCTGTGTCTCAAGCAAGCAGGAAGTTATACGAAAACTAATTTTTTAAGACGCACCTTTTTCCGCACTTGATAACTGAGGCCACTGGGAGGAGGGACGTTCGACATGGTGATGACAGCAGGAACCGTAGAAAGCACCACACTATAGGGGATTGAAGGGCTATGATTTGCGAATTAAGCTCTTCCCGTTAGGAAGCTGTATTTTGCCCAATCGCTGTGAGGGTGCAGTCTTATCATTCATCGATTGCGCCAAGCGTACAGACGTGTCCGTGCCTACGCGTGTACGTGTGTACGTGCACATATTTGGGAACGAAAACTGTGTCCATAATGTTCGACATTGAAAGGTCTCCGATTGGTTAGTATGGCAGTTGGCTAAGACTGGGCCATCTTATTGACCGCACATCGTCAGCTGCACGCTCTCGGCTTCGAGAAAGGTGCCACAATGTTTCCCTTATGGCTGCCACTTGGGACGGGATTGGTTGTATTTAACCGTTTTTTGCACTTTCTGCGTCCAGTGCTTCTGAAAACCTAGAGAATTTAGGAGCCCAACTGTGGATCTTAGAATAGAATAAAGTTTGGAATACAAACAGATAGTTTCCAAATAAACGGGTGCCAAGCACTTTCTACTTTCAATCAACAGTCCAAGAGAGTTTGAACAACGAGAGGTGCTGGACCAGACATCTCCTTTACGTAAATAAAGTCATCCGGGAATCTGTCGAAAATGGACACTAAGAAGAAAAAAAACAATAGTCTGCACTTAAAATATGTTGAATAGTTTCTTTTTCAGTTTGAAACAGAGAACATTATTTGGGTGGTGCGCAAACATTCCCTCTTTTGAAGGCAGTTTTCTCACACTGGTGCAATACCTGAAAATTCACCAACATAGGACTCAGGGATGTAGGCTTTCCGACACCGTACTATCACTTGCGAATTCAGTGATAGCCATATAAACAAAATTTAAAAATTAATTCTATTCCAAGTTTTATGAAGGATGCGACGTTTTATTACTGAAGTAATCTTCCCAAGTAGCAGAATCATATTTTTCACGGACGGTTAGATTCATAGGCAAAGTTGCAAAAATGTCATAACCGGTATTCCTTGTGATACCCCGGTTTGAATTTCACGGTTTTTTTCTATCGCAAATTATGAATGGTAGTATATCAAAAAATAAGTAGCCGATTTTATTTCGACCCGGGTATTTCCGCCGGCAATTGGCATTTTATAGTTTTGTTACCTGCCTCCTTAGTTGGTTTGTGAGTCGTACAGTAGGTGGTCTAACTCATGGAATGTCAATTGAGATTCCGAAATGCGTTTTCTTTTTGAAAAGATTGATTAAGTAGGGTTGTAAAATTATCGTCCTGCAGCATAATTCAAAATATTCCAGTTACCTCAGGATGCTCGCTTTTGGACGAAATTCTTGCCGGCCGCATGCAAAAACTATAAGCGGTAAAATATGACTACTTATGTAGCACGCATTTTTCTCATTGATTTTCGATGCTCTTGGAAATTTAATTACATTTCATGGGAAACTTGCATAAAAATGATTGCTCTTTTGCTCATTCGGTAGCGAATTACGTCATCTTTCAGGTATATCGCCGAAGGAAGGTTATAATTCGGTTTTCAAAAACCTTTCCAATTCCCGAATAATTTTTAACCCGATCTGCCTTTACATTTGTGTCCAGGGCTAACATACTGCAAGTCGTATATTTGCTGCATATGGAAAACCATCTACTTCTCTATGGTATTAAAAGGAAGCTTTATAGGATTCATAAAATTTAGCAGTGGATTTGACCCATATTGTTTATTTAACAAGCCACATTGGCAAATGCAAAGACATGACGTTTTATGAACAGTCATTTCAAGGTATTAAAGAAATCTCACGATTAGAAACTTCTTTAAAACCGAATTATACCCTTCCTTCGAGTATAAAACTGAAAGAAGGCATACTTTGCTGCCGAACGAGCAAACGAGCAAATATTTTATGCATGTTTTCCATGAAATATAATTAAATTTCCAAGCGCATTGAAAATCAATGAGAAAAATGCCTGCTACATAAGTAGTCATATTTTACAGCGTATAGTTTTTGCATGCGGCCGCCAAGAATTTCGTTCAAGAGCCAGCATCCTGATGTAAATGGATTATTTTGAATTATGCTGCAGGACGATAATTTTACAACCCTACTTAATCAATCTTTTCAAAAAGAAAACGCATTTCGGAATCTCGGTTGACATTCCACGAGTTAGCCCACCTAATATATGAAAGCAATGTCTTTACGTACATAATTTCAGCAAGTCTTACTTAATATACAAGTGAACCCAAAGGACCTATGTTGTTTCATTTTTAAAGAAATGTAGGATCGTGTGTAAAGGCTATAAATATATAATGATAATTATACAACATATGATCTTCGCTCCGTGAAATCTCAATTTTTGCGGGGACTTCCTGAACACATTCCCCGCGATCGAGAAGGAATCAGTACACAGACAAAATTCATGAATGACCATCGGCGGAGGGCTAACTTGTGTTCGCTAATGCGAGTCCCAAGACATCGGCCTGTATGGCCAATATAAACACAAGGGCAGTTGGCAAATGGTATGCGGTAGATGACGTTAGTTAGTTGTTCTTTGGGCACCGAGTCCTTTACTCGGCATAATGCCTCGCATAGGGAAGATGCGGGCTTATGGGCAATGGATATGCCAAAGCGTTTTAGTTGCCGGGAGAGTGCTTCAGAGATTCCCTTAATGTACGGCAGTGAATAGAATTTCTGAGACGCTCTATCTTCATGAGACTCGGGGTTTGGTAGTTGTCTCTAGCGTCTGAGACAGTTCTTTACGAAACTGGCAGGATATCCGTTGGAGCGGAACAATCGATGTAAGTAGGCCAATTCTTTCTTAAGTGCGTCATCACTGTTGCAGATTCGATAGGCCCGATGGAAAAGAGTGCGGACACAGCTTCGTTTATGGGCCGCAGGATGATTGCTCCCATAGTTAAGTATGATTTCGGCACTGGAGTCTTTTCTGTGGACGCTTGTCGCTAGTTTGCCATCACTGAGTCTTTGAATGCTCACATCTAAGAAGGGGAGGGTATCTCCTGTTGCTTCTTCGCGGGTGAACTGTATAGCCGGGAAGACGCTATTTAAGCTCTGATGCAATCGCTCAACTTCCCTGGTCTCTATGATGACAAATGTGTCGTCCACGTAGCGGAGCCACATTTTTGGTTCGAAGGTGTGCACAACAGCCCTTTCTAGTCGCTGCAAGACTAGTTCTGCAAGCAGCCCCGATATGGGGGAGCCCATTGGGGTGCCCTTTACTTGTTGATAGAACTTGCCATCGAACTGACAATAATTCTTGAGGCAAAGCTTAAGCATGTCTAGAACATGTGCTGTTAGAATGCCAATGGGACTTTGCTCTAGACATCGGGCTACGCTGTCAATCGCTAGATCATGTGGTATTGAAGAAAACAGGGCGACAACATCGAACGATAGGATGCATTCGTCAGGACTTACTTCAAGGCCTTGGATCTTTTGTAGGAAAGCCTGAGAAATTTTGATGCTGTATTGCGATCCATTTGCGAGGTGCTTTAAGTGTCTGTATAACCACTTGGCAAGGTTGTAAGTAGGTGATCCAATAAGTGGCACAATGATCCTCAGTGGCGCATCTGTCTTGTGCACGTTCGGAAGGCCGTACGCACGCGCGATACGGGGGTCATTGAGGGTCATAGATCTGCTGTCATCGGGGCTTATGAGCTTCAATCGGGAAAGCTCATTCACTTTCTTCTTGATAGTCGCGGCTTGCTTTTTTCGTTGGGTCTGCGGCGAGTGGTGCATAGGCTTCCCTGTCATCGAAGATTTGGTTTGCCTCGTTGACGTAGTCAACCTTATCCATGATAACGGTTGCTCCTCCTTTGTCAGCAGACATAATAACTATTTTGTCATCAGTCTTTAGCGATGGCAACGCCTTTTTCTCTTCGGTCGGAAGGGTTTGATGATGTTTCATTTGTCGAAGGAGACCAGTGGCGCAACTGCGAATGTCCGCACACATGTCATCAGGGACGTCGGAGGTCAGAAGGAGGGATTCAAGGTTGGCTAGGAAGTCCGTAGGTGCAGCAACGGTGTGACTGAATCTTATCCCCTTAGACAGGAGGCTTATTTCAGTAGAAGAAGGTCCATTTTCGAAAGATTAACAACCTTCGTAGTAATTTTTGGGAAAGGGTGATTAGATGGGCCATAAGCACTTCATGCAACCGAAGTTCACCAGTGCCTCGCCACCTGTCATCCTCTGTCGCTACAGATCGGGTATTTATTCAATCAGGAATGGGCGCACACCGATCTATTGGCTTCACGAAGCAAACAAACTCCGTATGGGAGGCAAAGGTCACGAAAATACAACCGATTACCAGGCCGAAGTCGGCAAAGTCATAAGAGCAGCGAGGAGGGACGACAGAGAATGCGGGTAGATTGATACAGCGACAGAGAATGACAGGTGGCGAGGCACTGATGAACTTCGGTTCGATGAAGTGCTTATGACCCATCTGGTAGGCCTCAGTGGTGGACCGACTGCGCCAGGTGCGTCTGTGCGCACGTTTGTGTTTCTGGTCCCAGCTGCTGGTGGTCAGGGTTATGATTGGCTGAATGAAGGCAGAATAAGCCCGAAACAGTGCTGTATCAATCTACCCCCAGACTCTGTCGTCTACCCTCTGATATATATATATATATACATCGATTGCTAATATAAGCGAAGATGTGCGTCCCCGGACATAAATCAGAAGAAAAGGAGATCTCGAGAACCATAGTTTTACTGTCCCGACGTTTCAAAAGCATAGAAACTTCCATCGTCGTAGGTGAGTGTGGTATCGCGCCTCACAGTATTTATAGGTGGTGACAGTCATGTCAAGACGGGTTTTTTTTCTTACATACGAAGTTAGGGCGGTAGGGAGGAAGGGGGGTGCGGTGGATCAGCTTAAGTGGTCATCAGTTCCTGCACACAGGGACTGTGGCGGACGGGGGGAGAGAGGGTGACGGAAAGTACTCAATCTACATCGGGGGCCGGCGTTGAGACGTTGGTGGTCGTCGTCCGTACCTTCATTGACCTTAACTGTCGTCCAAGGCTGGCAATCTTGTTTACGCCGCAACGACTGTCCGTTTTCTCGTTCGCCGGACTAGTAGATGGAACGGCTGTGGTGACGACTGCGCCTTCGTCGGAACCAGGTTGAGGGATGACTGAGTGTGCATCCGCCATGGACTCGTGCACGTCTGGATTCAAGTTTAGCCTGAGTTCACGTCTGCTCATTTGTTTACTGAGCTGCACTCGAAGGGCTTGATAGGCAGCGGGAAGAGCCACTCAACGGTTGATGGAGGTTGTCCCTGTGTGTCAAGCCTCGATTGTTTCCCTGGCTATGCGGTCGCTTCCTCGGCCCAGGATTTTGACATCATGAAAGGCAGACGTGTGCCCGGAATCGGCGCAGTGTTCGGCCACCAGAGACAAAGGGTCCATTCGCCTTACAGCCCTCATGTGTTCTCCAAAACGGGTCTGTAGTCGTTTACCCGTCTCCCCAATGTAATTGGCTTCACATGAGTTACACTGGATCCGGTAGATGACGTTCGTGGTTTCACCTGTTGGCAGAGGGGCATTAGGCCTCATGACCAGCTGTCGAATTTTTGACTCGGGTCGGTGGGCGATGCCGATCCCCAGCGGTCTTAAGAGACGGGAGACCGCCTCAGAAACGCCATCGATGTATGGAAGCGCCCGCCATATTTTTGGCCGTTCTGTTTCCAAACGTCGTCTCAGTCCGGCCTGTCTGCCGCGTTTGATGAAGTTGCGCGGATACCCGTTGGACATGAAGAGGCGCTGGAGGTAGCGTAGTTCTGACCTTCTGTCGTCCGGCTCGCTGCAGTGTGTTTCTGCCCTTCTGTAGAGTGTTCGCACACAACTGCGTTTGTAGCACAACGAGTGCTTACTGTGGAAGCTCAGGATTTGGCGCGTATTAGTGGCCTTCCTATATACCGTCGTTTTAAGTGCTTATCTGGTTTTCGATGGACGAGAACGTCCAGGAACGACAGTTGGTTGTTAACTTCCGGCTCCATTGTGAACTGGATGTCAGAGAAAACAGAGTTCAGGACGTCAAGGAATTCTTGGACCTTTTGCCGCTTAATGATAACGAAGGAGTCATCGAGATATCGAGTCCAAAATTCCGGCCTATAGGCCGCGAAAACTAGGGTCGCTACTTTTTGGAGAACTGTCTCTGCGATGAAGCCCGAGAGCGGCGATCCCATTGGCGTCCCCTTGACCTGCTCGTAGGTCGTACCTTCGAAGGTAAAGTACGTCTTCATGCAGAATCTCAGCAATTGGACGAGATGTCTCCGTTTTATCGTCACGTCCGTCTCGTCGTACTGACTCTCGAGCAGCTCGCTGACCGTTTAGACAGCCAGGTCTTGCGGAATCGAAGTGAAAAGAGAAGTGAAATCGAATGACACCATAACCTCGTCTTCGGTAAGTCTCATCCCTTTGATCCGCTCCAGGAACTGAGTCGTTGAACAGACCGTCGTGCCCGCGTTCGAGGTGAGAGACCTCAGGTTTCGGAACATCCATTTAGCCAAATTAGATGTGGGTGCGCCGCGCAATGATACGATTGGCCGGAGGGGCACCCCGGCTTTGTGTACCTTTGGCAGTCCGTAAAAGCGCAACAAGGTGCAGCGTCCCAACAAGTCCCCACCAGGCACTTTCCCCAGTCCCGACGCACGGTTCAGCCATGTGCACCTGGATGTTGTAGGTCCCTTGCCTCCATCCAATGGTTTCACCTACCTCCTTACCTGTGTCGATCGATATACCCGCTGGGCTGAAGCTGTTCCTTTGCCGAATGTGCAGGCTGAAACCATCGTGAAGGCCTTCGTCAATCGTTGGGTCGCCATGTTCGGTGCCCCATCCATGGTTACGACTGATCGGGGTGCCCAGTTTGAGTCGGCACTCTTCCAAACGCTACTCACTTTTCTTGGCTGCACACGCATTCGGACGACAGCCTACCATCCAGCTGCCAACGGTATGGTTGAACGTTTCCATCGTCAGCTAAAGACTGCCCTGCGTGCCGTCGAAGACCCAGGAAACTGGTCGGACAAACTTCCTCTTGCACTCCTCGGCATCCGCGAAGCTCTGAAGTCGGATCTGGGCTGTAGCGCAGCTGCATTGGTTTTCTGCACTACCCTCAGACTGCCAGGCGAGATGATCACCCCAACCTATCGTGGGGCCGACGAGGCTCCTGACAATCTTGTGCACCGTTTGCGGCAGTTTACGCGCACGCTTTCCCCGGTTCCACCTCGAACTCCAATGACTGAGTCTTATGTCGAAAAAGACGTGGACAAGTGTACTCGTTTGTTCGTCCGGTGTGACCGTGTGCGCCAGCCGCTAGAATCACCATAAGAAGGACCGTTCCGCGTGCTCGGGCGCAACGCAGTGACAAGGAGGACGTGGCCAGTGTCGATCGGGTCAAGGCTGCTGTTGCAGAGGAGCCGCCGGACCGGTCACAAGGACAAAAATGTGCAGAACCCCTAACCCATGTTCCTCCATCTTCCCTATCCCCTACTTATTCACCCTGCCCACTGCCTCGCCCTTCCCCTCCCTTGCCGTCCAGCCCTCCGTCCCGCATACTTACTCTCCCTACTTGTCATCAGCATCCAACTGCAACATCATCCTCCACCATTGCACGCAATCAACCCTTTTCGACTGTACCTCCTGCTTACACCACCCGCAGTGGCCGTCACGTTTATTTTCCCGATTGTTTAGTTACGCATTTTTTCTAGACTTATGCATATCCTCTGGCGCCGTATTCCGTCGCCCTCCTGTCTAGAAGGGGGGTAATGAAGTGAGGTACCAGACTAATTTACCTTTGACAATTTAGTCCCTTATTCTTAGACCGCATCGCTTGTTTGAATATGGCGAGAAGCGACACACCTGTACAACCCGCGTTGCTAGCGTGCTCCTCTGTCGTGGTCTGTTGTCAGTTTTCTTAACGTTCAAAATCTCCATATTATTGACTGCTCCGATTTATTTACTGCCTTTAAGACTAGGGGCTCGTGAGAGATAACTCGATTGTTCGTGAGAACATTAATTATTTACGACAAAGGGGCGATTGCATGTACCACAGTGTATTGGTGCTGACGTTTCGGAAACTTCCTTGTTTCCATCATCAGAAAGGTGGGGTGTCTGTTCCTGCACCCCACCACTCTGATGATGGAAAAGAGGAAGTTTCCGAAACGTCAGCAACGGTACACTGTGGTCCATGCAATCGCCCCCTTTTTTTCTTCGTCTTCTTTAGGGGATGATGAACGGGATATATATATAGGCAGAATAGTATTACTGACAAAAACAAGGGAGACTGGAATGGCCATTTCTGTCTTATTAGCCGTCGTCAGCCAGCCATACCCAAGCCCGAAGTTTGGAACATCCGAGCCCCGAACTCGCGACCTGTTGGTTTAGAAGTCCACGCCTCTACCCACCGGGCCACGAGCCCGTTGCACTGTCGGTTTTCAATCAGGAATATACAACCAACAGGTCGCGAGTTCGATGCCAGGGTGTTCCACAATTCGGGCTTGGGTATGGCCGGCTGACAACGGCTAATATGTCAGAAATGGCCATTCCAGTCTCCCTTGCCTTTGTCGGTAATACCATTCTGCCTATATATTATTCGCCGCTGTGCGGCTGCTGGTTGGGCTCGAGAGAGAGCCCTTAAGGCACAACGGAACGAGAGAGTTCCGTATGAACGATCGGTGAGCGCCCCCTAACATTGCATATTCCTGATCGAAAACCGACAGGGCAACGAGCTCGTGGCCCGGTGGGTAGAGGCGTGGACTTCTAAACCAACAGGTCGCGAGTTCGAGGCTCGGGTGTTCCACACTTCGGGCTTGGGTATGGCTGGCTGACGACGGCTATTAAGCCAGAAATGGCCATTTTAATCTCCCTTGTCTTCGTCGGCAATACCATTCTGCCTATATAGATATATATATATATCAGCGGGAAAACGAGAGTCTGAGACTTGATTGATACAGAAGTGTTTTGGTCATGTTTGTGTTCATTTAGCTAATCAATGTTATGACCACCTGCTTGGACCATAGACCCAAGCATGTGCACACACACCTGAGTGAATAAATACCCATTCCGCAGCGATAGACAATGGGAGGTGGTAAGAAACTGATGAACTTCAGCTCGATGGAGTGCCTATGGTCCCGCCGGTAGATCCCAGTGGCGGACCAGCTTCATCGGGCGTATACGGACATAACTGTGTTTCAGGTCCAAGCGAATGGTCAGGGTTAAAGTTGCATGAATGAAGGCAAACCATCTCAAGACAGTTCTACTTCAATCTATCTGCAGACTCTGTCGTACTCCTTTTTTGTCATAGTTAGGCGGACTTCGGCTCGGCTGATGGTTGTCTGTTCGTGACCTCTATCACCCATTCGAAGCGTGTTTGCTTTGGGAAGCGAATGCATCAGTGTGTGCTCTTTCCTGAGCAAATATACATGCCTACATATGACTGGCCGACGACGGCTAACAAGCCAGAAGTGGGCACTCCAGTCTCCCTTGTCTTTGTCTGTAACACTATTTTGCCTAAGTATGCATATATATTTTTGATGTTTACGTGCGATAACAGAATCTATTTCGCCTTATAGCTCGGAGTTTATACGTGCATAACAGTGATGTGGGAGTGCTTGAATATCACTCCCAATGTCATCGGAAAAAATTGAGATAAACCCCACTTTACTGATGAGACCGAAATAGTTACTTAAGAACTTCTTGTCGGAATTTATTCCTTTAACTTTGCTCCTACGTTATGAACTTTTAATCTAAATAGTACGCATTTCCTCATATCCTTCAAATTCCTTCGCCTTCTATCTGACCCATTTTTGAAACACTCGGTGACCTTGATGGAATTCAAACGCAAGTGCAATATTTGCCTACGAGGCCTGGACTGGGAGCTGTGATTTTAATCGCATTTGGTCAAGTTAACCCATAACCTTCTGTACCGTATGGCGTCCACCGAGGCCGGCGAGTTTTACGAAATTCTGTGAGATCAATTACGCAAGTTTACTAAAAGTATTTGTAAACTTTTGCAATCACCACTTTTTTAGGATTTCTCATTTGGCCGCCGAGCGTAACCCTCTCAGAACCAATGCGTACCTTTTACCTAGTGCCTGCAAATTGTCTCCACTGCGCATATAAAGTATTTGTATATAATTACTGTCGTTTGAGGTGAGGCATTAGTATAATATTTCTGCTTGTTCTAAAGAGAGGTCTCCCGATACATTTGAAAATCGTATTATCGCACGATGCTTAAACGCCCTAGAAAGACGTTTCTCCAGACGAAAACTATGAAAAGTAAAACAAATCGTGTACATTTTCTGAGCGTGGGTCTTAGGTCCAATCGAATCCATACAAGTAACAAAAACCAATTTAGCTTTCAAACTTTATTGATGCAGTAGTGGCAGCGCTGTTAGTTTTATTTAGATTGTTGCTGGCCAGATTACCATTTGCGAGCTAAAACGGGTTTTGTATGAATAAGCATTGTATTATGTATTGTGTTCAATGGTATTCTAATACCACATATGCAGATTTTCTGGAACAACGTACAGTAGGTGGGCTAACTCATGAAATGTCAACCGAGATTCCGAAGTGCGTTTACGTTTCGAAAAGATTAATTAAGTAGGGTTGTAAAACTGATCATCGTGCAGAATAATTCGATAATATTTCGGTTATCTCAGGATGTCGGCTTTCGAACGAACTTCCTTCCGGCTGCATGCTAAAACTACACTCAATAAAAAATGGCTACTTAAATAGCATAATTTTTTTATAGATTTGTGATGCCTCTAAATGCCCAAATATATTTCATGGAAAACATGCATGGAAATATTCAGTCTTTCGCATATTCGGTATCCAATTACGTCTTCTTGCAATTTTATACAAAAAGGAATGGTGATATTCGGTTTTCAAAAACGTTTCCAATCACTTAGTAATTTTAAACCCACTCTGCCGTTACACTTATATTCAGGGTTTCCAAATTACAAACCGTATATTTTCCGCGTATGGCAAACCACATATGTCTCTATGGTCCTACAAGATGAGCATAAAGGGTTCATAAAATTAAGCAGTTGATTCGATGCATATTGTTAACTTTACAAGCCACATTGGTAAATGCAGAGACATGGCGATTTATGAACGGCCATTTCACGGTATTTAAATGTCTTATAATTAGACACTTTTAAACCAAGTCATGCCCATCCTTCAAATATAAAATTGGATGAAGACGCATTTTTCTACCTATTGGGCGAAAGAATAAATATTTTCATGCATGTTTTCCATGAAATATATTTGGACATTTAGGGCATCGAAAATCAATGAAAACAATGCATGCTACATATGCAGTCATTTTTTACAGAGTGGGGTTTTCGCATGCAGCCGGGCAGAAATCCGGTCGAAACCAGCATTCTGAGGTAACCAAATTATTATAGAATTTTGCTGCAGGCTGATCAGTTTTACAACACAACTTAATTAATTAGCTCGCCTGTCGTGTATTTGAGGATTTAAATTTCTGCTTTGTGAGCTTCGATAAATGGTATACCTCGTTACGTCACTAAGTTTTCTATTGGCCATGCTTTTTGTTTAAGTAAGACTCTTGACGAAATGCTCTCTGGTGCAGTTTAACCCGTTTAGCACAAAGTGCTGACGATCGGAAAATGACGGAAAATTATCAAATATACCCATATCCTTGAATTTGAAAGACTTTAATGTTTTGTGTCGCTAAACTAGACGGGTGCATCCTCTATGTTCAGCTTATAACAATTCCTTCTCTTCCTTTGGTTTGTAGATTTAAAACATGCGCACCATGCTTCATACCGTATGGTCGAAAATGAACAGCATATGGATAAGACGAATGTTAGTTTGCTTGGAAAATACTGGTCCATCTCGGCTCCTCAACAATTTCGAGCCAAATTTTACAGGCTTAAGTTTTAATATGCACTCTTCAATAATTCCTTTAGAAGTTCTCTAGGAGTGCGATTTTGAAAAATATAAGCCCTTTATAGTGAAGAAGGAAAAAGAAAAAATGCGTTTACCTTTCTCGTTAGGGTTCGAACCCGATTATTGCTTTTCAGAAACAACTGCCGATATCAATATGGCACAGAAGGAAGGGTACATAAGTGATCGCACAGTACGAAAGTGTTTTTGGAACCTTAGTAATGCAATGAAAGCCTTAAGGAAATCAGCTGTTGAAGAAACCCCGCGTCCAAGTGCTAGAGAAATGCCTGAAACACTTGGTGTCAGAATTTTGACGGTATCCGGTCACATAATGCAAATTCCCAAAGTGACGACCCCCGAACAATAAGTCCTTCATGAATTATCTGAAAATCCAAGACTCAGACTTTTTGAAGTCT